ACCACCAGGCTCACCAGTCTGACACACACACACACACACGCACACACACACACACACACACACAGAGGAAACATACAAGCTCTCATAACATCTTAAAGAATTTTATATGAAAATAAAGGCATGAAAGTGACACAAGGTAGACATCTCCAAGGAGCTGCAGAACAACTCAGAACATATTCAGAAACAAACACAGTTCAGCTTGATCAGCGTCTCGTTCAGTAGAGCATCTACTGGGATTTACAAATAATTTAACACATTTACGTTTTAAATTACATTACATACGCTTTTATCCAAAGCGATTTACAATTTTGCATAAAGTGTAAGAAGTCCGCTTTAAAGATAAAAACAGTAATTTGTTTCGGAGAAACATCCTCAGAAAAGAAATATTTATCTTGGCTCATCCAGGATATGTTTTTGAAAAGACTTATTACAATTTTTTAAATCCCAGAATTAGTCAAACAGGTCAATGCACTTTCTGGAATTCTCTTTAATCACAACTGATCGTCTTAGTTTTTATCAAATGTTTTGCACTTTTTCCTGAAGATTGTACATCAAGAATTTGTTTTACACAATGACAGAATAAGATGAAAACCATTTCTCTGGTCTTCTAGTAGTCTTTCACCTGACCAATATGGCCTTTCGGTTATCGAGGTCTCTGTGCAGTATGTCCATTATGTGTACTTTCATCCAGCGTGTGACCTTAAAAAAGACTTTAACAAAACTCTCTGTAAACTTTGTCTGGGTTGTGGGCTGGTTTTAAAAAAAACAGACAACTTTTGCAACAAAAAATAAATAAATGAAAAAAGCTGCACAACAATGATTCACCTTCTCTGATCGGTCACTTTTCTAACAGTTGCTGTAGCTTTACCTTGAGATGGCTCCATTCCTTTGAAATGAATTTCTGGAATTGCGTCCATGAGGGTCAAGACCAGCGACTCTTTGTAGCTCTGAGGATGTGTCATCACACACAGATGGCACCCTGGGGGGGGGGGGGCAAACACACATGTGGCCTTTTACTTCTTTGCTTTGTTTTTGTTGCTTCTCTCAAACAAACCCCTGAGACAAATACACCATGATCCAATAGCTGTCCTCACCTGCTGAGAATACTCTCGGCTCTATCAATGTCCTCATCCAAGGTGGTCTTAACCGACAGACTGTGTGGCGACCGATCTCTCTCAGCCGTCTGGCCCGTCATCCTCAGACCTGCAGGTGAGGACGAACACTCATGTTACTCTTGTCGTCTGCTCTCTGTGACTGCCGGTGTCTGCAGAGATGTTCTGTGGGAGTGTTTATGGTGCGTATGGCAGATTCTCCTCAGGGGACAAGAGGGGGGACGACTGGGACAGTCTGCCACGGTCCCTCACCTGGCCTGTCACACAAGCAGCTGGTTGCCGTGGTGAGCGAAGCAGCTACAAAGAGAAACTGCACGATACTGATGCTGTTTGAACCATGGAGGTAATGGAGGTGCACCTAGAAAGCCACATCCCTCACCCCCAAAAACATGCAGGACAGTGATGGCCTTTCACCCCGTGCAGTGCCGACACATGTCGAGGTGATTAGGCGACTGTTGCCGTTGTGTGACTAATTGGTGGATCATTAACGAAAACACACAAACACACACACTTACACACACGCACAGTCAGTCTGAAGCTCGGCTCAGCGAGCCAATCAGCTGTGCTCCCTCAGGAGCAGCATCACTTAGGAAACCAGCGTGCTGCTGACTGAGAGCAAAGTGTGGCACCTATGTGTCATAAGGGTAACTGGGTTTACTGAAGGGGCTGCCAAAAGTGCTGAGAGACTAACTACATGTATTACTGTATTTGTTTATGATGATGCTTTATTTTATGGTTCCGTCATCTCTGAATAATTTCTCACTCTCAATTATTTCAGAGTTTCTTAGAGAGAGCATTGTAATGTTAGCGCTTATTATAGGATCAATTGCTTATGTAACAACTAGCAAACAACATATATGGAGAATAGAGTTTATATATTATAATATATTTACTTTGGTTTTAATGGAGCTTTTCTTTCAGAGAATTTCCTATTTTTATATGTCAAATTACATAAAGCTATTTCTAGGAAATTATCAGAAACTAACAGACCTGTCAAATAAAGCTTCTTGTTATTTTGAATATGTAAACAATAAATCACCAACCATTGCATATACATATTATCTATTATATAGCTTTTCATTTAATACATTATGAGATACAGCTTCTATTTGTTTTACCTTTTTTATTTTATTTAAATAGTATTAAATTAACATACATTTTCTAAAAAAAAGGGGTTTTATTCGTCATTAAATTGTTTTCTTAACAAATTAGCACCTGTGGATTATTAGCATTATAAGAAAACTATGTTTGCCAGAAAAAAAAGAGAAAAAGAAAATAATGGAAAAATCTATCATTTTACACACATCTTTATTCATACCTTCAGTTTCCTTCAGTTACTCCAATAAAATCCTTATGGTGACTTCACACAGGAAAACCCAGAGCAGCTCTTCCATTCTCAGTGCCCACAGTGGATGCTATGAGAGGAAAAATCAAACTTCATCCAACACTTCTTGAAAAACAGCCACAAGTCCTGTTCTTGCAACACTTTCTGCTTCTCTTTCTTCTCTCTTCTCCTCTTGAAGTGTGTCCCCCTCGTTCCTCAGATGCACGAACACGTGGTCCACCTGATCCTCAGCTGGACCGAGCACCTGCAAGAGTGCACAGGATGTGAGATGCAGGGCGAGGAAGTCTTTGAACGTTCAGAGCCCAGATGTCAGCTTCAGGCCGAGGAGTCTTCTGGGGAAACCTCTTGGCAGTGCTTTTCCTCTGCATGCCTCTGACGCTGGAGAATAGCGAGAAGCAGCGCAGAGCAGGCAACTCAACAGGGTATCATCTCCTTTGTTGTGTTTGGTGATCAGTTCTCTTCATAAATCATATATTATATAACATATTGATCATAATGTTTTATGTTAGGCTGTTTGGCATTTCCAAGTTCCCACTATCTTTACATTCTTCATTAGTATACATTGATATATTGGCATAATCCTGTGTATATTATATTTATAGTCTTTACTTGAAATATTGGCTTGTAGTGGTGGAAAGTTACTATAAGTACAATACTGAAATGTTGTACTTAGGTAATTTTGAGGTACCTGTATGTCACTTGATTATGTCCAATAGGTGCTACATGTATACTCCTCCACTACATGTTACACTGTAACAGGTACTTTTTCCTCCACTTTATTTGACAGATACATTTATTCCTCAAATAAAACCAGATGTTTACGATACTCCTTCCACCATTGTTGGCTGGATATTTTCTGTACCATTAGAATATTTACAACATATTTCCTCAAAAGTAATGTTCTGAACATTTCTTTTTTCTAAATATGATTTTTAGTTTGATATGAGACTTGGACTGGTTGTTGTCTGATCTGCCTCTCCATCTCGCCTCTATTTAAACCAATCTTGTGGATCAAATTAAAATTGATACTTTATTTATGATTCCAAACGCTCTTTCCAACATCACATGCACAGACACGCCACCCGATGCAGATGGAGCTTGACGATCCAGATGATGAAGGCCGCAGGGGACCGCCTCCTCATCACTGTGACAGAGCCTGACAGTCTCAGCTCTAATCAGATCCTTAGAAAACCAGAGACTCGCTGAGAAACCCATCAGGGAGCGGAGCCCAGAGGACTTTACATCTGACTGAGATCCAGGCCAGTGAACAATAAACTACAATCTGCCAACGCTATCCCCTGTTGTACTGCAAGACTGTTGATGGACTGTGAAGAAGGAGAGACAACAGAGTATAACAAAGATATTATAATGCAATAATTGTGCATTTCCTCTTGGGACGGGGCAGGGAGAGGAAACGCAAACAATAAATGTCCGTTTATTATTTTTATGAGGCGCTATTAAAAACGGGTGCTGTGTTTCACGAGGAAAGATAGGGAAGGATATGAAAGCGTGAGGGCAGTAACAGGAAGATAAGATAAGAGAAAGGAGAAGCAGGCTGCAATAAAAGGAAAATGGGGTAAAAGCTCAGCTCATAAAAGTGATGTTCTGTTGGAGGACATCTTCCATCAGATCGGTCTTTAGTAGACAGCAGATAGAGCTTGACATGGAAAGTTACTTTCTCTGTACCTGAAGGACTTTTCATTCATGTTGACTTGACTAGAAGTAATATTTGGCCTTAGAAACAGCAGTTTCTCCAGAGCAGCGGACATTGACTTCATGTTGAGATTGTTTGACAATGTTTTTTTTCAATCTCAAATTCAATACAATTTACTTAAAAGAAAGTGTGCAAAGTATGTTGTTTATGGGTATATGACTTTACTAGCCTGATACTGCACAGTATTTATGTTATTTACTTTTATGGCTGTTGTGCAGAGAATATAAAAGTCCACTTTACCACATGAAATGTGTGAGCAATGGATTCCAAAGGGCATTTAGTAAAACTAAGCGTCCACAAATTTATGTCCAGATACAATACTTGACATGTAAGAAAAATGTAGTCTCTAGAGTTCATATGCTTTCTCATTTTAACATTACTGTTTTTGTAATTTGCTATCCTCTAGTTGAGCAATTTTTGTAATTGTTTTATTTTGATTGATGCGTTGGTACTGGTGTGTACCACCGTTTGTTCATGTCTTTCATTATTAACTACTGTAAGGGACTGAGGGTAATTAGAGGCATCTACGTTCCTGGCAGGGGGCTCCACCCACACTCTCATATGAGAGAATTGGGAACAGGTGTGCTGAGAGAGGAGATTTGTACTCGGGCTCCTGAATGAGTTAGATTTTCTGTTTTGTTTGACTTTGGGTTAAATAAATAAAAGCTCTGTTAACAGCTGACTTGACTGTCTTTGACTGCTGAGCTGTCATTATGTTGCTTGCCCTTTGTCCAAACATTTTATGACTAAAGGAACAATATTTACACTATGTAGATTAAAAACCGAATATACTGTATACCTGATCAAAACATTTGGGCCACCAAACGAGCAGTTTTCAATGTCATTTATTGTTACAAGCACATAAGAGTAGACATGAACATGAGGCCAAATACAATTTGGTCATTGTCATAGAATATCATCAAACTACCTGGAATGAAGTTACTGTTTATATTTGGTAATATTGAATACAAAAGAAAAACGGAAAACCTGAAAGCGCGAGTACAAGTCGTCTTTGAGACGACAAGAAGGCACAGCAGAAGCCAGCAGAGTCCAGTCCGCCTGCTCCTCATCCAACGTAACAGACAGACGTCCAACACAACACAGACCAGACGGCCCCCCAAAAAAAACAGCATTTACCTTGAGTAATAACCCCAAGAAACAAACGAGTAAGGATACAGACAGCACGCCAGGCTGGTCATGCCTATAATTTGACCGTATGGCTTCTGTATACAGATATGTAGAAGTTAATGGTGCCAGTTATCAAGACGTGCTTGTACTTCATTAAGCAGAGGCAATGTTTGGATGTTTTTAGGCTTGTGCTCCACCATCCCGCCTCCTTTTTTTTGTTTTTTTACTCATCCATATGGTATTCAGGAATGTGTGTTGCTTAGTCAAGGATATAATTTACGTATCAGTCCGAGTAAAAATATGTAAACAACCTTGCAGCTGGAAATACGAATACTCGCTTTAAAAAACAACATTCCTTTACATTAATCCTCCCGACTATGAAGAGAGCCATCTCTTCAGACAATTTAGTATTGTGGATTCATTTTAAATAGGACATTCTTCAGTAAACGCCTCACAAGAGACAGGGACGCATGCGAAATTGTGCTTCTGACAGCATTTTATTCTCATACAAAAAAAAAAAAAAAAATTCTTCATTCCTTCAGTTGGGGGAAGCTCTTCAAAACTCAAATGGCTTGTGGGTAAGAATAAGTGTCACAATGATCCCAGCCAGTCTCTTAGGCTCGCTTCATCCCCCGACCCATCAAGCAGGCAAAGACCGTCATCACCATTTTGGGCTTCACCTCCACAAGGTCTTCTGGGAGAGCGTAGACGCGGGCTCCAATCTTCCTCGCCATAGAGATGGCGTACCTGGGGACCAAGGAGAGGTTGACTCGTACAGAAACGGTTCACACGCGGTTACCAAAATAATGGCAAGCGCCTGCTCCTCGTTCTTTTTGTCTTTGCAAATCTTACTTGGCGTTCTCCAGCTTGTCCTCGTCGGAGAGGCTGCCGGTTCTTAACAGCTCGTAGTTGACGCTGCCGGGCTGGATGGCGTCTATCAGTTCCACTACTGCCAAGCTGCTGCTGATCTCCTTGTCCTGATCGCCACACGACACACAGATTAAGAGACTAACACAAAGGCGCACCTGACTGATGGGTTATATGATCCGTGTATATCAAACTGCCAAATTTGAACCTGTGAGATGGGGTTAAACAAACTAAAGCAAAAAGAAAGACCTTTCAGTTTAGATTATTTAGTAACATCTCTTTTATGTCAAAGTTCCACATTAAAATATTCTCACACAGACATGTAATCAAAAAGAGGAAACACAGGTTTACCTTGAAGCTTGAAATCTTGGTTGATTTTCCAGCTTCTGCCAATGTTTTGTTCACCCACTTTACGATGATGTCATCATTTACTTTCTGTCCATCACCCAGTCCCTCTAGTACATTCAACGTATATCTGAAAGCGTGGACAAGCAGAACATTTGTTACATTATTAAACATGAACTGAACAACGGTGTAATTATTTTTCCCACTGGTGCCCAAAGACTAGAAACTTAGAACATCAGGGAGGAAACTTTAATTCTGGAGAACACATATAATCCTGATAGTTTAATTAACAGCACCACTGGTTTGACATGGATGCGTCTTTTACATTTCAGAGATTCATTTCTATTCTTTTCTGAAGTGATCCAGATGCAGTTGTGTTTCACCTTCTCATCAGCTGCCACACCACGGCCAGAGTCAGGGTAGCGTTGCCATCGTTCAGGTCCTGCCCGCCGATGCCAACGAGGGAGAACTTGGCCGATTTGCCCAGCTCCACCGCATAGTTACAATTCTCCAACTGGAGGCACAAAAAAAAAAAAACAAAAAAAAAAAAAAAGAGTTGGCAAAAAAGACGGCCAAAGCGTTTTGTTTTTTTTCTCGTGTAGGGATGATTCAAAACAATCTGATTCACCTTTTTCATGTTGGTTCCCAGTTTGGGGTATGGCGGCTTGTTGACCTTGTTGTTCCAGTCCACAGGCACTTTAATCTTCTCGTAGAGCTGAAGGATGACCATGGCATCCTGGAGGTCTCTAGAAGACACGATCGTGTGAGATAATCATTAACAATGTGACAAATTATGAGTCCTCGTCAGATACAGGAGAGAGATTATCTGTGTATTTGCATCTTGTTTGTGGTACGTACCCATACAGATGATTGACATGTGGGTTCACTCCCAGAGAGTTCATCCAGTTTCTGAATGTTCTCTCTTCCCGTGTCTCACCTAGACGGCAGAGGATCATGGGATTTAGGGGGCTTTTAGGTGACGTACTGGGGGTCTCAGTAATAGTCAGTTCTAAACATGCTGCCTGAATTGGTCTGTTGTCACTCTGTTCGCTACATAAGCAACATATCTGGTAACTAGATTGTTGTAAGTATATGTTCTGCATACTAACTAATGTATCCAGTAGGAGCTAACGTTAGGAGTGGCTCGTTGTCCCATTATAAAAAAGAAAATATGTTTCTATGCTAAAAGAAGCCCGTAGGCCAGTTGGGTAGCTAACACAATGCAACTATTTGTTCAGAGCTGGTTGTTCTCAGGCGGTAGCTGTAATCTCTCCGGTTGTTATTTGTGTATTTAGACCTTATTTGTTCGCAGTGGACCTCCATGACGGTAGCGGACATGGAAAGCTACATCACTACGCTCCAATATCAGGACCTGCAACTCTCTCCAGACCCACCTTCCAACAGTCCCCAGTTAATGTCCTCATTCTCGGGTTTGACCAGCGCTGGATATTTGTTGAACAGATTCGCCACGAAGGCGAGGTTGAGTTTGGGGTTTCCGCTGATGACGTCAGCCGGGGTGACAAACTGTCGACAGCCGAGTCTGTCGGCCTGCTGGAGCATGGCCTCGGCCCTCTTCAGGTCGTCCTTCTCCTGAACAACACACAAGAACCACATGCTCCGATCAGAGACACCGTACAGCCGTTACCGTGTGGTGAAGATACTCAACCGGGCGTGCCGACTGTCAAAGTGCTTACGCTGAAGCCCGCCATGTTAATGTCTATGCGTGGCTGATCTTCATCGGTGCCTTTTGGGGAGATTTGATTCAGGAGGTGGAAATAGGCCCTCGAGTCCTGGAGAATCATACAAACAACAACAAATCAGGTTTCTACCATAGAACGAACAAGACAATCTGCTTTGTGACAAACTGGTGATGTAGCTCTACTCCAGGTGAAGTATTGATGAACTTGATGCTGCTGCTTGTGAGCTACTTTCAACCTAAATCAAGTTATTTAGATGTTTTCTCTAGTCGTTCTGCATCTGCATTAGTCTTCCTTTACAAACACTACACCACCAACTGGATTCAATGCTAGTGAGTCAGCCCACCTTGATGTCGGAGCTGAAGTTGTTGATCTTCTGCCAGCCAGCATTTTCCAGGTGAAAGTTTGCCCAGCGCAACAGCAGTTCTTCTGGAGACAGCTTCATCAGGTCCTCCAGGGTTTCCCCGTCTCTCAGCAATGCTGCCAGCGCTGTCGAGGAGTGTTAATGATCAGTTAAGACACTTGACAACTGACCAGGAAACCCTAGTGATGTGAGCACAGGGCTCAAAAGACAATGTAGTGGACCTATCAACTGTGTCCTGTACCTTCATTTCTGCTAAGCTCAATGTCAGCGAACAGACCGATCTTGATGATCTGCCACAGCAGGCCCAGCACCAGATGGGGCTTCCCCTCTTTTAGGTCTAAAGCACCGATGTTTACCACATGGCAGCCGATGGCAGAAGCCGAGTTCAGGGCCAGGTTCAGATTCTCCTGCGAGGGGGGCAAAGCATCTGATGTTGGGAAGATCAAATAAAAGCAAGAGAAACAGCAGCCCCGATGTACAGTAAATTCAACTGACCTGTATCGTAAACGGTGTCAGCTTCTTCTTGTTTATCGTCCTCTCGTCGATCGTGTCCGGCACCGACAGGTTTATCATTTTGCTGTGCAAACGTACAAAACCAAACATGACATTTTAGTAAGACATTTCATGCAGTATGCTCATCGTAAAGTGATGAATGAATGCATGCTTGTGAACCCATTAAGAAATGTTCGTCCTAGTGGCCAAGCAGTTAATCATACAGACCGACTCTACAGCTCTGAAATCTGTTGCGTGTTAATCTAAACACGGCAAAGTGACGGTTTTAGCTGTCGAATGCCGACACTCAGCCCAAAATGACCTCGATTCACGGCAGTGTTTGCAATTTGGATCAAGTTACTCGAGTGATAAAAGTAATTTTCTGTTTCAAATTACCTTGAAACTGGTGATTTAACAAAAAAGCAACTCATATTTGGAACAATATGGAATCATATTTAATGAATGTCGTACTATTGTATTAGTATCAACAGCTCCTCTGCAATGCGAGGCAGAATGTTGTTACGGTCGACTGATATCCCGATACATGCTCCTTTGTCTCTTTCAGCCACAATGTGATCACAACATTAAGTGCAGTGAGATGCAGGTATCTGACATTTATAGCAGGAGTGTAGCTAGGTGAGGAGGGGGGGGGGGCATGTTGCCAGCTCGAGGTGAAAACAGGAACTCTCACCAGAGTACTATACCGTCTGCGACACACGTGAAGAGGGAGTCTGTGTCGGGATTCATGGGCAGGACGTGTTGGCAGTCGGGGTCTTTTTCCAGAGCGGTGTTGATCCAGTTCACAAAAGCATACCGCTCCTCCTCTGTGTACACACACACACACACACACACACACACACACACACACACACACA